CTTTCCCTTCCACTCTCTCTAAAAAGCAATGGAAAAAATATCCTCAGGTAAGTATTAAAAAAAAAGTTGTGGCTCAGCATTATTCAACACTTGTCTCCAGCCCACATGGGGGGGGCACTGGTGACTCATGAAGAGTATTGCTTTGGAGATACCTGATACCTACCTACACCTCCAAAATGGATAAAAGAGATGCTTACCTCAAGCTACACTGAGAGGAGTTTTCAGGAAAACACTTGGAGAACTTGATACAAGTCATCTGAGGTCTGGCTTCAGAAAGAATTCTCTCCCACCATCCCTGGGAACATTTTGCTATACTTGATTTATCACACATCCATCCATCCATCCATCCATCCATCCATCCATCCATCCATCCACCCATTAATCCATCTCATTTTTGGTGCATAACAAAATAAATTGCCAACATCAGTACATTTTCCCCTGGGAAAAAATTATGTATCCACAGTTGGTAAAAATGGAACTTGTTTCCAGTGTCTGTCTCTCTCTACTTTGCCTTTGGTTTTCTCAGGAAAGTATCAGATCCCAGGTCCCTCTCTTCCCCCAGACACCAAATGAGCTTGGGAAAAGGAAAAGCTTTAACTTGGAATGAAGTTTGCATGACCTTCATGAGATTTCATCCAGGCCAGAAAAAAAACGTAATCCTCAGAGTGTTTGAAGAGACAGTGGAGTAAAACATACAGAAATTTTGTTCTCTCACCCTATTTAATCCTGGTCATTCAGTAACATGCACATGCCTAACAAAACCCAACCCTGAATGAAAGAATCCTGATTTAATATCACATCACATGTTCATTTATTTAACAAACATTTAGTGAGCACTTGCTATGTGCCAGGCATTAGCACAGGTAGTAAGGATACAACAGTGACTTAGATAAACATTTGATATAAGTAGTGACGTTTTAAAAAGCCACAGGTGGTAATGGTAATAGTCTATATCTTGATATAGATTTGGGTTACATAGATACATGCATTTATTAAAACCAGAGTTCAATATTTACTTACAGTTTTTTTTCTTTTGATTTAAAATTTACATATAATGACATGCACAAGTTTTAAATATGTATTTACTGAGTTTTGACAGGGATATGATGATCACAACTCGGCCTCCCTCCACTGTCAGCAGATAACCTTGCTTCCTGCTTCACTGAGAAAATAGAAGCCATTAGACAGGTCTTCCCTCAACTTATGAATGTATCTGCAGTCATATCTATCCTTTCTCCCTTTCCTTCTGTTATTGTGGACATGTCCCACCTGAGGCCAATTTCTGCCCCTTAGTTTTATATCCTACCCCCTTCAATCTTCTCAGAGGCCCTGCTCTATTGGATGATCCCTCTCATCCTGAACTCTCATTTCAAGGAATGAGCTTCTAAAGCATAGTGCTGGATTCTCTAACCTCAGAGTCCTCACATACCCCATTTCCTTTTCTTGGAACTACTTTCCTAATTCTTCTTTACTTATCATAATTCCTACTCACCCTTCAGATATGACTTTTACTTAGATATGACTTGACCTTCTATCCTACAACATGGTAGAACTTATTGAACTTTCTTTTTCATGACACTCAACTCACCTGTAACTTCTTGTTCTATGTATGACTGGCCCACAAGAAAAACATGTTCTCTGCTTCACAGTGTCTTGTTAACTGCTATACCTCCAGGACTCAGCATAGCACCGGGCACATTTAATATTTGTTGCTGAATGAAATAATTAAAATTTAATCATACCATATATAACATTTTTAAAAATGTTCTTCTTTTTTTGTCCTGGCTGGTTGGGAGTCATCCTGTGCAACAAAAGGTTGCTGGTTTGAATCCTGGTCAGGGCACATGCCAGGTTTCAGGCTTAATCCCCAGGAGGCAGCCAATCGATGTTATGCTCTCACATAGATGTTTCTCTCTCCCTCTCCCTTCCTCTCTCTCTAAAAATCAATTTTAAAAATCTTTTAAAAAAATAATAAAATTGACTTCTCTTAAAAAATAAAATGTTTTCTTTTACTTCATAGATTATAATTTTTTATTCTAATAGCTGTTGCAGTCTTTTCTATGATTGTGTTTAAAAGGGCACTGTAGCATTTGTTCTTATAATTTCTTATAATTCTGTTTTTAAAATTTATTATTATTATTTTTTAATCCTCACCTGAGGATATTTTTTCCGTTGCTTTTCAGAGAGAGTAGGAGAGAAAGAGAGAGAAACATCGATTGGTTGCCTGCTGCAAACACCCCGACCAGGGCTGGGGATGGAGCCTGTAACTGAGGTACATGCCCTTGGTCGGAATTGAACCTGGTACTCTTCAGTCTGCAGGCCGACACTCTAACCACTGAGCTAAACCAGCTAGGACTGTTCTTAAAATTTAAATAAATGTCCTGTACATAGAAGATTCTCAAGAAGAACTATTTCATAGTCATAAAAATCCTTACCATGGAAAGATCCTTAGAGACCCTATATTTCAATTTCCTCAGGAAGAAAACCTAAGTAATAGAGTCTTTTTATGACTGAATTATTACTGCATTATTATTACCTTTTTACTCAGATGGGGTTATCTTATGGCTAGAGACCACCAGTGGGGACACATTCTAAAAATTCAGAGTTCTTTCCATCTGAAAATTGTGAAGGAGGATGATCATCTGTTAGTTTACATAACTATATCTTATAAATAGCTTAGTTTTTCTGAGCAAATCCAAATTCATTCAGTGTTCATTGACAGACACGAGGGACCTAACATTACATTGCTCATGTATGTAACATTCATCCATACATGTGCCATTTAAACACATAAATATGTATACACACATACATGTATAATTTGAAGCAGAAGAGTTAATAAAACAAAACAAAAAAGAGAAATTGCCTTACAAAGGGTTTCTACTTCCAGCCTTGATGTAAGTCTTTTTCTTAGAATTTTTAAAAAATTGATTTTTAGAGAGAGAGGGAGAGGGAGAGAGAAACATGGACCTGAGAGCAAAGGAACTGGCAACCTTTCAAAAGGGTGCACTAGACGATGCCCAGCCAACTGAGCCATCCTGGCCACAGCATTGTCGCCAGCCTTGTTAACCCAACATAGCATCCGTCACCAAGTCAAACTATATTATCAACTCAAGTTCAGTTAGTGGCTTCACAGACCAGCCCCTTCTCGGAGCCCCATCCAAACACAGCCAGACTAACTGAAAAGGCAATTCAAGTCTTTACTGAGGTCCCCCGGAGCATGATAAAGCAAACTTCTTAAAATTCTCTTTCCCGGCTTGAATGTCCACGCCCATCAGCGCCCCAACCAGGAGCAGTCCTCTCCTGCTGCACGCCAGCATCACTGAGCCGCCACGGGGCTCCCCTTTTCTGCCCCGGCCTGGGGCTGACCTGCAGGCCCGAGCTCGCCCAGGCCCGGGCGAGGGCTGAGCGGGCGCCGTGCCCTCCCCAGTGCCCAGCGTCACGGCAGGCTCTCTCCTCCGCGAGCTGAGGAGCTGGAGATAAAAGGAGCAATCAGTAGGTGCAGTGGCCTCCCGGAGGACACGCGGGTGTCTGTGGGGAGTCCTGACGGGCGAGGTGGGCCTGGAGGTGCGCCTCGGGCCTGGCCCGGACCATGACCTAATCCGTAAGAATCTGTGGACGCTTCGGACTCGCTTCTCTCTGCCGCTGTTCTGGGGCATTTTCCTTTCCAGCCACGACTCCCTTTAGCGGGGTAACGTATGGAAGGCTCACATGTCCAGTGGGCAGATAAAAACTCTTACTTCACTAAGAGGCGGTTTGCGATCCTCACGTGGTCCCTGAGGTGCCTAAAGACGGGAACCCGGGTGTCCTGAATGCCAAGTGGCCCGCTACCCCTCCAGTTTAACAGTCCAGGGGGGCAGGTAAGTCCCCGGTGGCGCGCGGAGCGGCCGGGGCACCTGCTCCCAGGGCTGCCCCCCGGGTTCCCATGACCGCCCGCTCGGGCCCTCTGCCGTNCTCTGCCTCCAGGTGAGCCCGCCGGGTTCCCATGACCGCCCGCTCGGGCCCTCTGCCGTCGCCCCGCCCCCTGCGCTGTAAGTCCCGCCCCTCCTTTCCCCTCCTGCGCGCCGCCATTTCCGACTACGCCTCCCGTTCATTTCGGCTCTTCCCGGCTTCCGTCCCAGATGATCCCTCCCCGGGTGCCACCGCCTCCTCCACCTCCGGGAGCTGGAGCCTCCTCCTCGGCCAGTGGCGTAGCCGGACTCTGCTCGGGGCCAGCCAGATAGGGGCGGAGGTGCGGAGCCGGGTCTAGAGCCGAGCGGGGGGCCATGGAGAAAGCGGCCCGAGGCGCTCTCTACACCGACTAAGCGGGCCCGTTGCGGCTGCAGGCGCCATGGACCGAGCCCCAGCAGACCAGGTACGCGGGCTCGGGCTGGGCCAGCCTGGCCGGGGACGGGGGGTCGCCGCTTCCTCCTAGGCAGGCCCTGGCCTGCGAGCGTGGGCCCTGACGGCCGGGGCCCTCAGGTTCCGAGGGCGCAGACCTTCCTGGCCCGGGAGCCTGGCGGCGCCCCGCTCTGCTACATTGTTCCAGATGCTGCCTCGGGCAGGGGCGCTTTTTCTGCCCTGTTTACCGTCCCCCACCCTGGATGGGGGCTCGCTTTTGCCCCTCCTCCCGGCTTGGGGAAAGGGGCCTGGAGACTCCAAGTTGTCCGTATCTCCCGAGTGGCGGGTTTATAACTTCCAGCGGGTCTGCCCCCTGCCCCGCCGCCCTCTTCCCTTCAGTGCTGGAATGTGTTTTCAAGGTGGAAAGGCTTCTGAAGGCTTCTCACCCAGAAAGGCTGTCAGAGGACGTGTGATAACTACAGGAGGAGAGGGGGGTGATGGGCTTTTTTTAAGATCTACGTGCCATTGAGCGAAGCATTGTTTTTACAGTGATTTAAAGGAGGTGTTCCCTTTAAGATATGAAGTACTACGGTTTCCCCTTGCCTTTCTACCTAAATATTTTGCAAAAATTAGTGTTTCGTGTTTTGTTTTTAAAAGCCAGCTTTTTAAGGGTATAAGACCCGAAGCATGAACTCATTTCCGAGATTCACGAAGTAGTCCCATAGTGTCTGGTTTTTTTTTTTTCAATTACACCACATTCTTGATTATCTATGCTAGTAGATGCTGGGAATCCGGGATTTTACGTTGCCATCACAACGTAAAAAAATAATCTAAAATAATGTTTTATTTTCCCCCAGAAGTTGCAGTGTTTTCCGTTCTTGAGACCTCTGGGAAAAGATTTGATGAAGTCGAAGTTTATTCACTGTCCATTCCCCTCTTCAGTTGAAGGCCTTGCCCAGCGAAGAACTAGGCTTAGGGATGAAGGAAAAGGAGAGATTAGTGATTTGCCTGATTATTTTACAAGTGGATAATTAGCACCTTAATAAACGAGACAGGATTTCCCAAATTCCTCTATACATTGATTATATGTTGCTAGTCAGAGCCAGTTTTGAGTTAGAAATTGGACTCTTTCGGCAGGCAAAGCACAGTTTCCTAGTTGTGTATATTTGTTTTTACAAAAGCTTTAATTTTTTTTTTTTAAAAAGCTTTCTGTGAATATGACTCTGAAAACACAAATGAGTTTATGAAACAATACGTGGATTTACCAAAGCAAAATTGATTGGAGCCTCTTGACCAGTACATACAGGCTTTCCTTTTTCACTCAGTATTTTATATAAGGCCTATGTCCAGTTTAATGAAAAACAAAATTTTAAGGTATCTATTAAAAATGCCTGAGATTTCAAAGCGTGACAATTAATAGGAAATTTTCTTGTCTGTGTGTCAGTGATGAAAGGGTTAAACATTTTGGTCCTATACCATGATGCCAGAGCTATAACCAGCAATGCTACCACATGTATACTTACTGTTCCTTTCATCCTGGAGGAAATGTAATTAACTATTTAGATGGTAACTTGTGTGTGATTATCTTAACAGCAAGTGCTATGAGCAAATTATTTCAACTAGAGAGCCTCTTCCTCTTTCATCCTACATTTTTCCAAAGTCCGCAACCTATTTAAAACCTTGTAGAAATTTAAGAATTAGAAAAAATCATGAGTGTAGGTTTTCCTTTGAAGAATTTTTTCCACTTTTTTCCCTCCAGTATCTCCCGCCTCTTCTCCAGCCTAATAAGAAAAATTTCAACCATCCCCTTGTCTTTGCCAACCACACATAGAAACTGAGATCCAAAAAAGTGATGTTACTGTAGGCAGTTAATTCAGGGGTCCCTGGATGGACCTGGAAGGCAGGTACTTCATTTTATATTAGCATTTTTCTGGGTCAAGACTCCCATTACTTTCATAGTATTCTCAAAAGGATTCATCATTGAAAAAAGGCTAAGAACCATTAACTTACTGGTAGATTGGGGCTAGAAATGAGCTTTCTCAACTTTGTGGAGTTCTTGATTGTTTCTATACCAGAGTAATGTAATAGCTTTCCTAGGTTATTAGAATATATTTTTTTTATGGTTTTACTAATCAAGTGAATTTAGATAGGTAAAAGTCATGAAAAATATATGTGGTAATGTGCTGAATTTCCATTTTTCCTCACAAAACGTTTTTCATTTTAAACCAGTGCTGGTTTATACTCAGAATTCCTGGGAATGCCTACAGCATTTATAACTTCTTATAATATTGAAGTGGTTAGCAATTAATAGAAGTTAGATTTTTTTTTTTTAAAGTACTTAATATAAACTTTCTGCATTCCATCTTAACCTAATTGAAATCCCTGGAGTATTGCACAGTGTAACTTTGAAAAAAATTTTTTAAAAACATATATAAAATCTTTGATTAAAAGGATAAATTGTGTACAATTGGTCAGGATTATAAAAACCTGATCAAGATTATAAAAAGTAAGTTACCAGGAATATGTGCTAGATAGCAGTCTTAATTGCAGTAATTGACTACAAGAAAGAATCTTATAACCAGAAGAGAATTTCAGGAATATTATCTTTTAGCAAGACTGTTTTAAATCAAAGCAAGTAGTTTAATTTTAACTACCAGAATTAGATGTTCTAGGAACAGATATGGCTTGGTATAATGCATTTTTTTGTCTTTTAAAAAAAAAAAAGAAAGAAAGAAAAGCTGGTGTAAAGAGATAAGAAGAATAAATCATGGAGTTCATTTTGTTTATAAAGGCTTTAGTGTTTCTATTTTTAGGAAATTTAGGACAGTGTTCTGAGATTTTAAAAAAATAAACAATAGCCTTAGAAGTGACAGAACACTTGAGGTTTACATTTTCTTTAGTATTATCAAATAATTTAAACATTGGCTTAATTTTTAGCACATTAATATCAGAAAGGGTTTTTTTTTTAAAGAATTCACAAAATTATTGATCACGAATGTCTTTAATTCTTAGGAAAGCAGATGTGTAACAAATAGACATGACTTTATACAAAGTGCTGTTCACTAATAAGTATGTAAAATTATGGGGCTTATAATTCTTTTCTTTAAATAATGTATAAACTTCAAATATCAGCACTGCAACTAAACATACTCTAAATAAGTTACTATAAAATGTAATACATAATACGTATAGTTTGCCTTTATGGATAAAAGCTAGTCATCTGTCTTAACAGATTTTTAAAATAATACTTTTATAATAAAAAGAGAAAGTAAATAATGCTCATTTAGTGAAAAGCCATTTGGAAACTTTAAAAGACTTTTTTTCCTAAGCCCTTAAATCAAAGAGGGAGTAAAAAAGTAGAATTATATGTTATTGAAAAAGTAATAACATACTACATGTGAAAACCTACAGATGTGGCTGAAACGATACTCTGAGGCAAATGTATTATCATAAATACTTTCATTGTTAAATGTTTTAAGAGGAAAATAAAAATTAAGCATCCAAGGCAAGGAGTTGGGGAAACCCGCAAAAGCAAGGGAGAAAATAAATATAAAAACAAGTTAATAAAGTAGGTAATCCAAAAACTAGTATTAAATTTAGAAAACTGGTTTTCAGAAAAGTACCAGCAGATTTTAACAGGATTAGATGCAGCCTGTTTTAAGAAAAGGGGGAAATGTCTGGATAGCAAAGTAAATGGGCAGAGTCTAAGTTAAATACTTTGATTTTTTTTCTTTAATATTTTCTGAAGTCTTGCAAAACTTTTATGTATAGCTACTGCAGTTTATTTTGACAAATAGTTTAATTTCAGTGTAAGCCATTCCAATCAGAAAACAATACAGCTAGCCAGGTATCTCTTAAACATTAAAATTTTTTTTCATTGAGAGACATTTATTTTATATTTTGCCATAAGATATAAAATATCTTAACATTTGATACAGTGTATTTTTACCTTAACATAGAAAGAATGAATGTGGAGGATTTCCATGATCATATTTTTTTCTGTAGGTGTGTGGTACAGAAATTTCACTGTGGGAGAGAGCCTTATTATGTTCCAGTTCAGTTTTGATATTAAGTGGGTGACATTCTTCTTTTGCTTAATCTGGGAAAATTATTTGCACTCCTCTGGAGGTTCTATCTTGGGGAGGCTTAGTGTACATTTCTTGCTAATGTGTGCTTAGTAGTAATGTTTGCCCATTTCCCCTAAACCTGTCTATACACTGCACTTTCCAGAATATTATTGAATTCATATTATTGAATTCTATAGACTTTCAGTAATATGAGTGCATTTGTTTAATAAAAAACTTGTTTTAATGAGCTTTTAACAAGGTTTTTATAGTTTCATGTTCTGATAAGTTCTAGGGTTTTCTAGATTATCCACATCAAAGAGGTTTTATTATTGACATTGTTTTAATATATGCAAAATTTTAAATGAATGTGGAACTTTTTTTCAAATACATGTTTCTGGGATTATGATTTTTCATTTGGAAAATTCTAAAATAATTTCTGAAAGAGAAAGATAATTTTACTATGTGGGTGTTTTGTTTTTTAAGCAAATAATACAGGAATTTGTTCTTTGTAGTTTAGCTTATACCATATTTACATTTTCTTTAAGGACACAACTCCTTGCTGTAAAATTTCTGAGTTCTAAAACAGATTTTGGCAAAGGTAAAGAGTTTAAACACTGAAATTCAAACTGAAGAATATTATATGAAGTAACTAGTCTAATTTTCTCATAATGTTTTTGCTCTTCACTATATAAGACATTTTTCTTTGATTTCTATACTAATATAATTGAAATATTGCCAGAATTTGTTGCTTACTTACTGTATTATCTATATGGGCTTTATTATGTGGAATTTTAAAAATAGTTCAGAATCTTTACATTTCAGGCTTGAAAACAGCAGATGCTACATTTTGATATATGATACTGAAGACCTCGAAGTTACAATAAGCAACTTTTAAAACCATACAGAGTTGTAACTATAGGGGAAAGTTTGCCAGTCTGTTCCTACTGGTGACATCTTCTGTTTGTACAGCTGTTTACTACAGCAGCTTCTCTTTTTTGCTGAATACAAAGGATCATTTTAGTGTTTGTGAATTTTATTGTTCAACTCTGATATCTAGAATTGCACTTAGAGTAGAAACCAATACAAACTTTAATATTTAAGGGTATACAGGGGTTGGCAAAAGTAGTTTTACAGTTGTATGTGAAGCACAGCTTATTTCTGTATTATTTAATTATTAATTATTGTATCATTTATTAACCTGTTTTTGCCCGCTCCTGTATACTGTGTATGTGAAGACAACAGTTATAATTTATGCATGACACTTTTTAAATAGTGACTTCCCTTAGTTCATAAAACTCTTAAATAAAAGTATAGATGAAACTAGGTATAAAAAACTTGTAACTTTTGACTTGAGCAAGAATTTGAATTTGTTGTTACCAAAGAATATATGATACTGTTTTTTTGAGGGGTGTCAAGAAAAATGTTTTTAAAATTTTTTTTATTTCTTTATAATTATATTAATAGTGCTCCCTTTAATTGATTTCAGAGAGAGGATGGGAGAGAGAGTTAAAATATCAATGATAAGAGAGTCATTGATCAGCTGCCTCCTGCAGGTCCTGGACTGGGGATCAAGCCCCCAACCCAGGCATGTGCCCTGACCGGGAATCAAACTGCAGCCTCCTGGATCCTAGGTTGATGCTCAACCATTGAGCCACGCCTGGCTGGGCAGTAGTGCTCCTTTTTTTTTTAGATTAGACTGAAAATTTGATGGAACCATATTCCTTTTTAAAAAACAAAACCTAATGCCTTTTAGTCCAGATTTATAAAACTGTTCATAGAATTCTCATATGATCAAAATGACTTTGATTTTTAAAAATCTTAAAAGTTATGTTTTTAGTTTAGTTAAAATGTGATTTGTTTTCCTTATGTATATGAATGAACTATATAAAGTTTCCATTATTTGTGCATTATTGTTGAAAGTCAGCTTTTTTTCCCTATTTGGGGAAACACATTAGGTGGATTATTTTATCCCTATAAATAAGTTTGGAGTTCTAGTGCCTATCAGTGAAGAGTACAGACTACTCTGTTAGCATTTGAAGGAGTTTTTGCCTCCTGTGTTAAAATTCAAGAAACTGGCCCGGCTGGGCATGGCTCAGTGGTTGAGAGTTGACCTAGGATCCAGGCGATCAGGGTTCGATTCCCGGTCACGGCACATGCCCGGTTGCGGGCTTGATCAATGACTCTCTCATCATTGATGTTTCTGTCTCTCTCTCTCTCCCTCTCCTTTCCTCTCTCTGAAATCAATAAAGATATTTAAAAAAAAAAAAA